CCCAGGCTGTCCTGGAACTCTCCATTGACTCTGTCTTCAACTGTGACAGTCCTTCTGCCTTAGCCTCCTGGGTGCTGGGGTCATGTGCATGGGCCCCGGTGACCGGTTCATGTGTTTTGATAAAGCGTAAGTGTCTGGCATAGATCAGCCACAGAGCTCTTGCCCAGCATGTGGCACAGCCCACAAAGGGAACACAGCATCAGCTTCAAACCAACACAGTTGGTTTGTACTGGCTGCATTGTTGCCCAGCCACGCCCAGGAGCTTGCAGATCTTCAAGATAACCTGTCTTGGTTGCTCGGGTTGTTCCCGTGATCTTTTATGCCCTCTTCCACCATGCACAGGCATGCACTGTCCAGCATCAAGAAGAAGCAGGTCACCTGGTCCATTCACAGTCCTGAAATATTTGGAGAAAGTCAAGAGCAGATATCACACTACAATTAAGTGTCGCAGGGACACGGGAGGCCTGACGGGGATGGGAGCATTGTCGTGCATTAACTCGTTTACATGTCCACCCTGTAGTCGGTGAGGAAGTAGGAGGCAATGACTCTAGAAGGTGGTAAAGATCTGAAATAGATGCTATGAAGGAAGGGAGATGTTTCCCTGGGCTCCAGTTAACTCACAAATACTTTAGTTTTAAATTGAGTTTTCAAGACAAGATCTCACTATACAGCCTTGGCTAGCCTGGAGCTCCTCAGAGGTCTCCTGCCCCCAAGACAGATAGATCTCTGTGAATTCCAGGCCAGCCAGGGCCATAGAGTGAGACATTTTCTTTGTAATGATTGATTTATTTGCATTGGTGTATCTGTGAAAGGATGTTGGATCCCCTGGAACTGGAATTACAGTCCTGAGCTGCCATGTGGGTGCTGAGAATTGAACCCAGGTCCTCTGGAAGAACAGCCAGTGTATTAACAACTGAGCCCCAAAAATTGTGAAAACAACCCCAAATTTTGTGTGTGTGCACAGTGTATGTGTGGGCTTATGTGTTAAGGTCACAACTTCTATCTATGTGTGGGTCTAGAAATCAAACTCAGGCCATCAAGGCTATGTGACAACGGGAAGTGGTGGCAGTCACCTCTAATTTCAGCACTCGGGAGGCAGAGGCAGGAGGATCCCTGAGTTTGAGGCCAGCCTGGTCTACAGAGCGAGTTCCAGGACAGCCAGGGAAGCCCTGTGTGGTAAGTTGGAAAGTAACTGGCCCCTATAAGATCATAGGGAGAGGCACTATTAGGAGGTGTGGCCTTGTTGGAGGAAGTGTCACTGTAGGGGTGGGCTTTGAGGTCTCCTGTTCTCAAGCTATGCCCAATGCCTGAGGATCAAGATATTAGAACGCTCAGCTCCTTCTCCAGCGCCATGTCTGCCTACAGGCCACCATGATGATAATGGCATAACCTCTAAAGCTGTAAGCCACCCAATTAAGTGTTGCCCTGGTCATGGTGTCTCTTTATAGCAATAAAGCCCCTAACTAATACATTAATACACCCTGTCTCGAAAAACCAAAACCAAACCAAACGACAACGTGTCAGCTGTCTTTACCACTGACTATCTTACCCTACTTAGGTGCCTGGTGTCCACAGGGTCCAGAAGAGGTGTCCGATCCTCTAGAACTGGAGTCACAGATGGCTGTGAGCTGCTGTGAGTGCTGGGAGAGGAATAATGCTCTCAGCTGCCCACCCCCCCCCCACATGTGTGGAGATTTATTTATTTATTATATACAGTGTTCTGCCTGCATGTATCTCTGCAGGCCAGAAGAGGGCGCCAGATCTCATTTCTGATGGTTGTGAGCCACCATGTGGTTGCTGGGAATTGAACTCAGGACCCCTGGAAGACCAGCTAGTGTTCTTAAACTCTGAGCTATCTCTCCAGCCCATGTATGGATTTTTTTCATTTGTTTGATTTAATTTTTTTCAAGACAGGGTTTCTCTGTGTAACTGTGGCTATCATGGAACATGCTCTGTAGACCAGGCTGGCCTCGAACTCAGAGATCCACCTCCTTGTGCTTCCCAAGTGCTGGGATTAAAAAATGTTTGCTGCCACTGCCACCACCCCGATCCCTGTGTGGTTTTAGTTTTAAAAATATACATACATACATACACATTTCTGCCTGCATGTATCCCTGCAGGTCAGAAGAGGGCGCCAGATCTCATTACGGATGGTTGTGAGTCACCATGTGGGTGCTGGGAATTGAACTCAGATCCTCTGGAAGAGCAGCCAGTGTTCTTAACCACGGTATGATTCTTCATGATGTGTGTGAGTGTGTGTCTGTGTGCATTTTGCCTTCATGTATGTATATGCACCATGTATTGGGCTCAGTGTCTAAAGAGGCCAGAAGAGAGCACTAGATCCCTAGAACTGGAGCCAGACTGTGTGAGCCACCAGGTCGGTAATGGGACAAACTTGGGTCCTCTGAAGAGCAATAGGTTATTTATTTTGAGACAGAGTCTCTCTACAGATCCCTGACTGTCCTGGAACTCTGTCATCAAGCTGGCCTCAAACTCAGAGATCCTCGGCCTCCCGAGTGCTGGCATTAAATGTGTGCCTGATGGTTATCTGCTTCCTATTGATGATCTAACTCCTAAGTGACTTCCTTTGACATCTTGCTGGCTATGACTGAGTCACAAGTATTCCTAACCCTTAGGGGTTACACACTGCCTCCAGGAAGGCTGGAGAGTCTTGTGTGTGGGTAAAGGGGGAAAGGCTAAGCAGATGACCTGAGTTGCCACACCCACTTAACTACTGCACATTGTTTGGTCCAATAAAGCCATATTCTGAGAAGGGAGTAGCCTGTACCTGTCACTGTCAAAAGTGCATTGTTTGGGGGCTGGCTAGGGAGCTCAGTGGTAGAACAGTTCCCTGCATGTAAAGCCCTGGGTTTGTACCCTAATGCTACACATGGACACAGTAAAAGCAGCTGGGCGTGGTGACGTTTGCTTGTAATCCCAGAACTCTGGAGGCAAGTCGTTTCAAAACTACTTCCTGGAAGATACTGGCTGTACACACGAGAACCTCAGTTTGGGCCAGTATGTAGGAGGCAGGCAAATCAAAATGACTTGGAGGCTAGCCTGGTCTACATAGCAAGTGCAAACCTAACCAAGAACACATAGTAAGATCCGATCTCACAAAACAAGAGTGGGAAGGGGGTGGTGACTCATGCCTTCCATCCCAGCGCTCAGGAGGCAGAGGCAGGCGGATCTCTGAGTTTGAAGCCAGCCTCAGTGGTAGAGCTAGAAGAATACATCAGGTGCTGAGTATAGAAAAAATGAAAAAGCTGTTCTGAGAAATAAGTATATTTAATTCCATGACAGATGATTCTTGATATTCTTTTAAAAGCAAAGACAGTGATTTCTCTTTAGATGTTATTTCACTTTGTGTATGAATGTTTTGCAGTAGGTGTGTGTGTGGACCAAATGCACGCCTGTTGAGTCTCGTGGAACCGAGGTTACAGAGAGCTATCATGCTGGGAATCAAACCCAGATCTTCTGCTAAAGCAGACAGGTGCTTTCACCAAATTTCACCATCATGTTTGAGGACAACTGTGCGGTGTGTTCATTCTCACAGCTGCTGTGTAACTTGGAATCCCTCGATTCTGTAGCCTGACTTGCAAAGCTTGGGAAAGACTAAGAGCCTGTCAGAACAGAAGCTGTGCCACGGTCTTCTGGTTTTCTGGAAGTGTAATTACTTAATCCCAGCACTCAGGAAGCAGTGGCAGGAGGATCTGTGAGTTCAAGGCCAGCCTGGTCTACAAAGCCAAAGCTACACAGAGAAACCTGGTCTCAGAAAACCAAAAGAAAAGGGAATTTAGTTAGGTCTTTTGAAATCATATATAACAAAACTCCTGGTTATATTTTCTAAATTCTAGAACAGCATGCCTTGAGCTATATATGCCCTGCTACATGCCTGTGAGCCCAGCACTCAGGAGACTGGGCAGTAGGATTGTCACATGTTCTGGGCCAGCCTGGACTAACCATAGATCAAGATCCTGTCTAAAAAAAAAATTTTTTTTTAAATTGTAGAGTGATGGGCTGGAGAGATGGCTCAGCCGTTAAAGGCTAGGCTCACAACCTAGAGAGAGTGAGGGGACCTTTTGATAGACTTAGCTGGTGCGCACAAGCTGATAAAAAACCACACAGCTGTGTTTGTAGAGAGTATAGAGTTTACACTTGGGTTTAGCTGGGCACGGTGGCCAGGAGGCTGCAGTGGGATGGCCATGAGTTTGAGGCCAGCCTGGGCTAACGTATGACTGTCTTAATAAAAACCAAAACAACCACCAGTTGTGGTAGAGCATAGCTGTGATCCCAGCACTTGGAAGGAGTTCCAACCTTTAACGGAAAGGGCCACATTGGTTTGAGCCTAGTGTTTAATAGAAGATACAGTGGCTTGACAGAGGTGATACAGATCCTGTGTCTAGACAGTGAGTTTGCCGCCTCTGCCCTGCTGTGTGGAGTGCTTTCTGCCCGTCTGAATATTACAGCTTGGTAATATTACCACTTCCAGACCAATTTCTCATTTTCTTTCTTAAAGATTGGTTTTCTTATGTAGACAGTGTTCTGCCTGCATGTGTCGCTTGCAGGCCAGCAGAGGGCGCCAGTTCTTCTTACAGGTGGTTGTGAGCCACCATGTGGGTGCTGGGAACTGAACTCAGGACCTCTGGAAGAGCAGCCAGTGCTCCTAACCTGTGAGCCATCTCTGCAGCCCTTGCAGACCAATTTCTAATGACTTGGACCTTCATGTTCCCAGTTCACACACAGCTGTCATAGTTGGTATTATTTCCAAGAGTGGATTGAGGATGGTGGGGTGAAGCCGTATATTTTCTACATCCAGCCCAAGAGGTGAGCCTGCCTACCTTTACAGGAGTATTTATTCTCTCTGCTGGCTCCTGGCAGTCAGAGACCTTAGGCTCAGTTCAGCAGCACAGACCAACTTAGCATGGCCCTGTGTTAAGGATGACATGCAAGTTTGTGAAGCATTTCTTCTGTATATTTTTATTATTATAAAAAAAAAAAAAAAAAAAAAAAAAGCTTTCCAAAAGCTGTATTTGGCATGATCTGGTGCCACTGCCAGTGGCCAGCCAGGCACAGGTGCATGAGGCCCTGAGGAGTCGGGAAGGGAGGGTGAGGAGCAGGCAGAAGAGGGAGTAGCCAGCTTAGGCCCCTGCCCCAGGAGCCCGAGCAAGGGTGAAGGCCGTGCAGCAAAGGTTACAGATGATCCTCTTTGGTCAGGCAAAGACCCCGATATGGGCCCAGAAGGCAAAAGGTCTCAGCTCTGGAGCCCTAGCTGTCAGCTCACCACACTGAGGCAAGAGGCAAGGCGAGAAGACAGGAGAGTCCGGCTGTCACCAGGTCTTAGGAACCGCCCTTATCTTTGTCATCCATCAGGTCATACCTAGGCAATGAGGACAGACTTGAGGAGCGTGAAGTCTCCTGCATCCGTTTTGTTTTCTGAAGTCTCATTCTGTCTGCATCCAGGATGGCCGGAGCTTGCTGGGCCCTCAATTCCCCAGCCCCTCCTAGGCTGGGCCTACAGCACCGAGCCAGCAGGCCTAGTTCTCCGCTGCCCTACGGGAATGGGGCTTCTGCCCTGAGGGGGCGAAGGTCCTTCTGTGCTTGGGATTTATTTCTCCACTGCACCTGCCAGTCCCACCCACCCCTATGCAGACACTCACCACTGGGCTGCACCCTGGGAGAGGTCTATCTCTGCCAGATCCAGCTGCACCTGGGTTGGAGGATGGCAGTGGGCAAGGATTCTGCTATTTCCAAAGAACATGCAGAGGATAGGAGGTCACATCCCAGCTGGGACCCCGGTTGTCTCTTACCTTCCCCAGGAGCTCGCGCTCTCGAGACATGAAAGAGGAATTGGACTTCACAGAGACATCCAGCTTTCTCCTGAGAGAGCCGTCCAGGGGCAGCTCCCACTCAAACCTGCGAAGGCACTAGACATTAGAGCCCAGGGCCCAGCCAAGCCTCGCCCCTCAGGTAAATAGCACCCACTCACTGACCGCTCATTGAACTCCGGGTTGAGGGTCCTCTTCTTCTGTGCGGTCTTCCTCTTGGTGCCCCGATTCTTGTCTGGCAGTAGCAGCAGTGACACATAGGGGTCTGGGAGGTCACGGCCATTTTGTCGAAGGGCCCTACAACAGAAGAGTGTGGGCATTGAAGCACTCACAGCAAAGGACCCTGGGACTGGGGACAGGTGGGCGGGGTCTCACCGGCAGCTGTGGACGATGCTAACCAGCTTTTGTTCATCACTGTGGTACCACACTGTCAACTTTACCTGGCCCAGAGGCCCAACGGGAGCCTCAGAGGGGCTGTGGAGAGACACACGGACAGCATAGCATCCAGGAACGGGTGAGTCAGACTCCGTCTATTCCTAGTCTTGCCTGCATCCCATCCCCACCCCGGGCCCTTACCTGTCACCATGCGGTAGGCGATGCCGGACCTCCAGCACTGGGGAGGTGTTGTGGCTGGGAGCCCCTGAGGCCCCGGCTCCCTCATTGACTGAAGAAGAGCTGTAGCTGTGGCTGTGGGCTTCCACTCCTGAGTGCTGGGACACAAGGATCTGGGGACAGGAGAGCAGTGAGCTGGGCAGTTCCCTCACTGGAAGGACACAGCCTCTGTATTTGTTGTTCAGCCTGAGCCCTTCTGCCCCTCCCCTCCCCTCTCCCCCTCTCGGTACTCACCCCTAGTTGTGCTCGCATTAGCACCTGGCCCTGGCCATTACTGAGTGCAAACCATTTGTCCAAGCAGAGTCGGTCTGCCTGGAGGAGCTCGGAGAGAGGCAGCGACAGGGAGCCCAGGGTGCCGGCCCCTTCACCCCGAACCTGTGGGGTAAATGCACTGATACATGTCTGGAGCTTGGCATTTATGATCCAAACACTTGGGTGGTTTTGGTGGGAGTCCCTTTGGGAGGGAACAGAATACATGTTACAGCTGCTAGCTCGGCCCCCAGCCTCCTCCAGGCTGCCCCGCCTCCCCAGTGCTGGGATTCTCTCTCTGTAATAGTCCTGGCTGTCCCAGAACCCGCTCTGTAGAGATCCGCCTGCCTCTGCCTCCCCAGCGCAGGTGGGGATTAAAGACGTGCACAGACACCACCACCACCCACTGTAGCTTTTCCGTTTTTTTGGTTTTGTAGGGATTTTTTTTTTTAATTTATTTAACTTTATTTGCATTGGTAGGGCTGTGTCAGACTCCTGAAACCAGAATTAAGACAGTTGTGAGCGGCCATTGGGTGCTGGGAATTGAAACTGTGTCCTCTGGAAGAGCAGCCAGTGCTCATAACCTCTGAGCCGTCTCTCCAGCCCCGTTTTTTGTTTTTTTTGAGACAGGGTTTCTCTGTGGCTTTGGAGCCTGTCTAGAACTAGCTCTTGTAGACCAGGCTGGCTTCAAACTCACAGAGATCCGCCTGCCTCTGCTTCCCGAGTGCTGAGATTAAAGGTGTGCGCCATCACCACCAGGACCAGCACAAACTTTTAAATTGTCTTATTTTACCTCTGGCAACGTTCACCCTGTCCCAGTCTTTTGAAACTCTCTGGCTTCCTGCAACCTGCCCTTTCATGGTGTCCTTGCTACACATGAGCAATTCTTCCATTATCTGCCTGTGAGCTGTGAGTGCACGGCGTATCGGATCTGCCCGTCTCTTTTACTTTGCACACTGCTAGCTCTGCCGGCGTTTCAGGTTGAGTCAGGTGCTTGCTCCCGCAAGGGAGAAGCGGTCAACACCACGCAGGTCTTTCTGGGAGGTTTTCAGGGAGGTCCCTTGAAGACCTCAAATTCAAATAATCCCTCCCTGTTATCAGTGTCACCCTCTCCTTCCAGGTCCCTCCCTCCAAAGGCGCAAAACCAGCAGATGGGTGTTGCATGCCTACAGTTGCAGCTGGGGACAGGAGGGCTATCAGGAGACGCTACAGTGGGTGACGCTGCCTCAAAAAGTCAGCAGAAACACCCAGAAGTTTTTCAATCCCAGCACTTGAGAGACAGAGGTAGGTGGTGGATCTCTGTGACCTCTAGGCCAGCCAAGGTTATGTAATGCGACCTTGTTTTGGGTGAGGGGGCGGCACTAATAGGGCTAGGAAGTGACCCGGTGGGTAAGGACATCTGAAGCACAAGCAGGAAGACCTGAGTTCAAGTCCCCACAACCCCACACAAGTGACTAAAGGCCGTGTCCGTATGGGGAGGTGGAAACCATGGCTGCTTTGCCAGCTAAGCCTCACTGGACATAGGTAGAAGTAACGTCATCCAAGGTTGTCCTCTGACCTCCACATACGCGTGTGCCCACTCATGAATAGCACCTCCCCTCCCCCCCCCCCCGAAAATCCTAGCAGACCTTTTTGGAGTGTCTTAGTGACTCATTTGAGAAGGGGTCTATTACATCACTCTCGCCCACCTCAGTCTTAGGGGCCCCCTCAGTGTCCTACATGCCAGGGTTCCAAGGGCTGCTGTGGCTGGAGTCTGCAGTGGCCTCAGTACCTGAAGCTCCAGGCTCTCCGCATGTGGCTTCCTGATGAGAAAAGAGGCACTGTCCTCCCAGCTAGGGGCTGACGTTTGGGGAACAGTCTGTTGGGGAAGAGGGTTATGGTCAGCGCCGGTTACTCAGGCTTCGGGCTCTTCCCTCCCTCCCACCCCATCCCCAAAGCACCTGCTCCTACCTTGGTTTTATGGGATGCCTCTCCTACTGTAAGAGTGGCGTAAGTGCTGGGAGGCTTGGTGCCTTTCCGGAGCTGGAAGGACAGAAGGACAGATTTACAAGTTAAAGGCATAGCCCCCATTATTCCCCAAGGCTTTGGGTCTCTCACACCAGCGCCATCCTCCAGGAAGCCTGAAGAGGAGCCACGAGGCCCGAGGGCAGGGGGAGCTGCTCTTACCGGCAGATCTTCTGCCCGTTCCAAGTAGACGGACAGCAGGGCCGCTGCCAGCTCTGAGCTCTTCTGAGTCTGGATCAGGCTGTTGACCTGCAGTACCTGGGACACAGAGCGCGCTGTGCCTGGGAGCTGACCCGGGCTCACTCCGCCCCATCCCGTCTGCGCCTGCGCCTGCGCCTGGTGGCCTCACCTCTTCCAGCTCAGCAGCAGTAGGTCTAGGGGTCAGACGCTCCAGGCGCAAGTGCAGGCGGCCGGATGGGACATCCTCCAGGGTCAGCCACTGTGGGGACAGGCGGGGAGAGGCTTGAGGAGGAGGGTGGGTGTGAGGAGGAAGAGGAGACAGCGGCGCGTTCGTCTCATGCTCACCTCATCAAGGAAGCCACTGTTGAGGACTGTGGTGAGACTCACTTTATACCTGTGGGGGACGGAGACAAGGGGCCGGTGGGCGACAGCACGGCCCACGGCGGCTGCGTTACCTGTCCACCTGAGCTCCTGACTCCTACCTGCCCAGGAAGTCATCCTTGTCCAAGTCCTTATCAAAGACCTCAATCTCAAGCTCTTGACCTGGGATCGATGTGACAATCACCTAATGGGAGGGGACAGTGCAGGTAAGGGGCTTCTCTCCTTTTCCTCTCTAAACATCCCGTCTGGCCACCCTCACCACCTGACAGGGAGGACTGGCAGCCACCACGGGGCAGACAGGAGTCCCAGTTCTGACCTCAAAAACCTCATTCCAGCGGGGATTGAGATCCTCCCTGACAACATGGCTCCGGAAGCTTCGTCCTGCCACCTGCAGCTTGACGTAGGGGTCGGATTTGCCCTTCACCAACCCCCCCAGGAAACGATCTTTGGCAATCAGGTCCTGGGCCTCTAACACATGGATCCGAAGAACACTCTGCAGGAGGGACAGACGGGCAAGACCTCAGAGCCAGGCTTAGCACAGTGTGGGCAAAGAGAGCCTTATCGTTTCCGGGAACCAACTTACCTCAGTCCCGAAGTGGCTGCTGGGAGTTGTGTGGCAGGGCCGAGGTGGGACATCAACACTGCTTCCTGTCTGGGGGCTGTCACTGTCCAGGTCCTGGGCCCCAGGTGCGGTGGGGAAGCTGATTTCTGAAGAATCTAAGTATAAGATCTGTGCAAAGCAGTTGGCAGAGAAGTCACGGTGCAGGCTGGAGGACAGGGCAGGGGCTCTCGGCTGGGCGCCTCCTTCCCTCCTCCAGTCAGAGCAACAAACAGTTTTTGATGTGCCTCAGACACAGATGTTTGAATCAACATGCTCTGAAGACCAAGGGACCCACAGGCCTCCCCAGCGCCATACCCGCATGACCAGTTTCATGTAGAGCCTGGAGTTTGGGCCTGAGCCGCTGAGCTGGAACCACTGGTCCAGGGTGAGTTCAGAGGCTGTCAGCAGGCGAGCCAGAGGCAGAGTCAGTGCCCCTAATGTCAGAGCCCTGGAGTCATCCTTCACCTGGTGGCACAGGAGGCAGACTGAGGGCTCTGCAGCTGTCCTGCACCCCATCCCCACCCAGCACAAACCTTTCCTTCCAGGCAGAGCCATCTTTTTTCAACGCCGCCATCCCCTTCTACCTTAGCTCGTTCTGCTCCCCTGAGGGAGTTTTCATTCCCTATCTCAACCCCGCTTTTTTCTACCCTTTAGGCTCAGTTGAAATCTTTTGTTCCTTCACAAACTCTATAAATGTCTGGGAAAAAAAACAAATGACTCTTCACTGGGTGTGAGTGCATGACTTCCATGGACATGTGTGCAGGCCAGGGCACAGTGTTGTGGGTGGGGTTGACCTCTATGTCATTGGGGGGGGGGTCGAACTGCAGTCAGCAGGCTGTATGATCTTTACACACTGAGCTATGCTAGCCCCCAGTCTGCAAATCCTACTTGCCCCAGCCCCCACAGCCTCTGTGGCCATCTTCACAGCTTGTACAATCGGCACTCTTGTGTTTCCTCTGTGAAACTGGCCGGTGAGCAAGGAAGCTAGGACACTGGGTTGCATGATTTTTCTATGACCTTTCCAATGTTAGTTTTATGGGGGCACAATCTGCCTGCTCATCTCAGGTACAGAGTAGTTACCGGTTGTAAAAATGAATCCTAGGCCTGGTGTGGTAGCACACACCTTTAAGCAGAGGCAGGTAGATTTATGAGTCTGAGGTCAGCCTAGGCTATACAGAGACCTTATCAGAGAACAAAATGATGGGGGCAGCTCGTGCCTTTATTCCTAGCCCTTGAAAGCATGGAGGCAGGCAGATCTGTGACCAGTAGGGTATATCCAGATACCCTGTCTCAAAAGAACAAAAAACCCTAATCTAATGCCTAAAGCAAAAGAGGCCCTTAATTAATCACCAACCTCTCTCTCTCTCTCTCTCACACACACACACACACACACACACGAGTGTGCAAAAGACAGGTCAAAGGAGCAAAAACATACCAGTAAACCTTGGGGAGACAGGATAAGGTGTCTCTCACCTGTATATCAAGCTCCTGGCTTCGAGGGTCTTGCAGGAAAAATCGGAAGGCTTCTTCCCATACCGGGCAGTTGGTGCCATAGGTAGCCTGAGAGGCGATGATGACATAGGACATGTACCCAGCCCATTCCTGTTTGGGCTGGAACTTACAGTTGCAATATCCTGAAGAGCCCGTGCTGGCCTTACCTTGCTCTCCTGGGTCACATCCTGGACTGACAGTTGTACCATGGGGTTGGGTTCCTTGTTTCCCTTCTTCAGCTGTGTTGGAGGACAGGATTTAGAGGTTATCCTTTGCATGATGGACGTCTGGGGTTTGAGGAAGGAAGGTGGGCCCAGAAGACACTTCCTCAAGGTAGACGTGACCCCTCCTTAGAACCTTTGTGTTACCCCTTTGCAGGCAGGGGCACCGGCATCCTCAGCCAGGGAAGGGTAGCCATCCTTTCCCTAAGGCTCTGTTCACCTCTCCAGAAGCCAAACTCACAGGGAGATCCTGGGCCCGATCCAAGTAGACAACCAGGATGGCAGCTGATGGGGGCTCTGGTCGAGAAGTGATGCCCCTATTCCACTGTAGAACCTGGGAGGAGGGGACAGTGGCCAGAGCTCATCCTCCTCACCCTCAAACGGCACCCCATACCTGCCTCCTGTTTCTAAGCAGCTCACCTGATCCAGTCTTTCTGCGTCTGGCAAAAGCGATAGCCATTCTAGCCTCAGATGAACTTGGCCTTGCCCGCCTTGTAGAGGGTACCACTGCAGGGAGAGGAGAGGGAGAAGGGACCAGACGCATACCCAACCGTTCTCCACCAAGGCAGCAGGGTGAGGCCACTACCACATCCCTCTGCTCCCAGCTTACATCATCCAGGACTCCAGCCTGTAATACCTTCCCTACATCCAGCTTCATTCTGGAAAGCAAGTGGGGAGGGGGGAGGAGAGCAGGGGAGTGGTAATTAATAGCAAGCCAGTAACCCTCTGGAAATAACCGGAGAACCCATTTCATTTACTTCTAAAACTTCTGTGTGTGGTCTGTGAAGGTGCCTAGGGAGGCCAGAGGACTCGGGGCTGGAGTTACAGGAGGTTGTAAGCCTCCCATGGGTGCTAGGAATTGAACTTGAGTTCTATAACAGCTGAGCCATCTTCTCCATCTCCAAGAGGATCTTACACGAAGGGTCAGGGGGCGGGGGAGTGTGTGAGTGTGAGTGTGTGTGTTTATGTACATTCACTCTACTACCTCCAGGCTCAGGGGCGTACTGGGACTGAAATGTACAGTCTCACCTTCCCAGAAAATCATCTTTATCTGGATCTTTGTCAAATACCTCCACCTCGATCTCCTGTCCTGGGACCTCGTGCACTATTACCTGGAGAGCACAGTGGACTATGGTCTCATGGGCTGTCCAGTCAGCAGCTTCGCCCCCCACCCCCCCATCCCCCCACCCCCTCGCCCCCCGCCAGGCTCCCTCAGCTTCCTACTTCATAGGTCTCTCCCCAGTAAGGGTTGAGCTCCTCATCGATGACACGACTACAGAATGCCTGGGTGCCCACACGGACAAGCGCGTATGGGTCTGATTTGCCCTCAATCAGGCCTTTCACGTATTTGTCCTTGGAACTCAGCCCTCGGGCCGCCAGAAGGTGAATCCGAATGATACCCTGGAGGGTTAGGGACCAACAGGTGAGAAAACTAAGAACCCAGCACAGGGCCCTGGAGAGAGATCAGACATCACACTCATATCACACCCTGGGTAGCGGGGAGCGCAACTGGGCCACATCCTGAAGGTCAGGTACGAGGGGCACCAATAGGCGGTTAGGCAACACCAGGAAGGCAGCGATAGAATCCATGATCATGGTGTCGGAGAGCGAGCTGAAAGGGAAACAGGAAAGAAAAAAGGCTCCAATTAAAGGCCCCCAACTGTGTTTCTTAGGACAGGGAGAGAGTTCTAGGACAGGGAGAGAGTTCTGCCTTTTTGTCTAACTGTATCCCCCTGGCCGGGTTAGGATCTGCCATGCAGCCCATGCTGGCACCGAACTCTGCCTGCCACCAACTCCCAGCTGCTGGGATTACCACACGTAGTTATCACACTTGTTTCGTGTGTGTGTGTGTGTGTGTGTGTGTGTGTGTGTGTGTGTGTGCGCGCGTGCTGTAGAGTTATGTGTAGAGGTTAGAGGACAACCAAGCAGTACCCTCTGCCCCCTGAGCCATCTCACCAGAGTGGGAGATCCTGAGAATCCTCTTTGGACGCTAACCTCCTTTGCCATTCCCAACCTTTCTCGCACTTTCCCCCTACCGGAGGAGTCTCCATTCCCTACCAAAATGCACATTCCTCCATGGAAGGAAAAAAAAAAATGCACTCTGAAACTTTCCTGGAGTTTATGTCCGATCTCCCCAACTGCAGTGAGGTGTTGAAGGCACAGGCTTAGGTTTCACTGGTTTGCATCTCTGAACCCTCAGCCCCCAACTGGCATATTTGGGAAGGATACTCAACAGTCCTCAATACCTAAGTCCTGGGATATCCAGCAGATTGGTCATCCCTGTCCAGTTGATGTCAAGTGTCTGGAAGAAAAGGGCAGAGTCAGGATGGATCCCAGCGAGCGCCAGCGAGGTCACACTCCGCTGAGGGACTTGCGCATGTGTGAGGCCCCTTGGTTCTTTCGGCTTTTTTATTACCAGTCTTCTCAATCACAGTAGCTATGTTCTGTACCGACTTTCCTCCCCACCCCAGTAAGCCTGTTTCCCGTCCCCCACCGATGGTCTCTCTTACCGGGCGTTTGATAAAGAACATCGACACAGCCCCCACAATAGGAAGGTCCCCTGTGAGCGGTTCAAGAATCACCCGCAAGACGCCGTGTAGCTAGAGCGAGAAGAGCAAAGAGACCAAAGTTGGCCCCACAGCCCACGAAACTTCCGGCAGACCCTGTAAGCCGGCTTCCGACATCTGCCCACCTGCATGCCCTTGACTCCTGCCTTGCAGAAGTATTTCTTTACTTCTACATCGATCTGCACATCGCCTACATAGCTGGGAGGCAGTGAGGGAGAGAGAGAATAACGGTTAGCGCCAGGCTTCCCGGTTGAGTAGGGGGAGCTAAGCAGCCAGGAGTGACCAGGATCCACCCATCACCAGGAATGGTGAGCTACCTGACATTCAAGTCCAAGAGAATCTGATCTTTCCTCTGACTAGGATGAACCTTGACTCCGATGATGCGTACTGGCTGGAGAGAGAGGGAGACGATCTCAGAAGAGGCAGGAGGAAAGAGGAACATCCCAGCCCTTGGGGCGCCTCCCCAAACCCTTATCTATTTCCTTCCCCCCCACACACACACACAAACCTTTTCACCCAGCTCCACTCGAGTAAATGTGAATGTTTGCAGGTGGGGGTTAGCGCCTCGGACAGCTGGTGCCACGGTTTCAGCCAGGAGCTTCTCCATATACTGGCCTAGGAAGGGCCACACCTGGGCCACAATCTGGGAGGGAAAGAAATTAAGTCTGTTTTCCCAGGGCGGGGGAGGGCCTAATACCATCAGAAAACAGATATTTACATTAGTAGTCATGCCAATAACAAAATTATAATTATGAGGCAGCAACAAAAATAATTTTATGGTTGTGGGGGGGGTCATCACAGCATGAGGAACTGTATCAAGGGTTATAGCCACTGGTCTGAAGGCAAATTCTACGTGGACATGATAGCACATAGCTGTTTTCCGAGGAGTGGTCCTGAGCTGGGAGGACCAGGGGTCTGAGGCCACTTTTGGGGCAGGAAGATAGTCATCCCTGTGGGCAGCTTTGGGGACTAGGCTCAAGCTGGGAACTGAGGTGTGGAGAGTAATAAACCCCACTCAGGGAAAATCAAAAGCAAGACAGCTCACCTTGTTCAGCCATTCAGCCTTTTCCACATCTGGGAAGCTGACCTGGAAGTGAGGAGATGAGCATACTTAACATCTGGGCTTCCTAAGAGGCCAGTGGGGCCACTCACAACGATGGGTCCTGTCCCTCTGGCAAGGGCCTCCTCACACCCAGGGGCTGGGTGTGCTGCGGGTTCTTTACACCCCTCTTTTCCTCTTCCTTTTAAAGCAAAACTTGAGTTTGTTAAGAAAAGGTTTCAGCTGGGCACAGGGACACAAACTGATATTCCAACACTTGGATGGTAGAGACAGGAGGGTCTGAGTTCAAACCTAGCCTGGGCTATGTGAGGCTATGTATTTTTTTTTTTTAAGTTAACTTTATTTTGTGTGCAAGTTTTCTTTTGTTTGTAGACAGGGTCTCATTGTGTAGTCCTGCCTGGCTGTCCTTGAATTCACTATTTTGACCAGACTGGCCTCCTGGGATTCACCTGCTTCTGCCTCCCAAGTGCGGGGATTGAAGATTTATGCTACCACACCCAGTTTTAATGCAGATTTAAACATACAATCCCGGGGGCAGGAGACTTCTGTCCTTAGAATTTGGGTACACGGGCCCCTTTAATACAGGTCTGGTGGATGCAGGGCTATAGACGCTTCAGATAGCTCAGAGAAAGGGAAAGGCCGCTTCTGGGGCAGAGGAGGGGGAGGGGGAGGAGTCTGAAAGAGAAGGGCACATTCTTTCAGGAGGAGATCCTGTCAAGTCAGAGCTCTGGGGAACCCTGGGATGAAGAAGTCCTGGTTCCTTTGTCCAGCTTTCCTTGCTCCCCTGGGACTGGGCGTGGGCTCCCTTACAAGAAGGTGAAGAAGAAACCAACCCTTTGACAACCTAGGGAGAGACTGGAAGAGCTACTCAGGCCTGGTGCGCTAGTGCCTGCGCAAGCCTCCGCAGAGGTCCCTGTCTCTCTCTCTCTCTCTCTCTCTCTCTCTCTCTCTCTCTCTCTCTCTCTCTCTCTCTCTCTCACACACACACACACACACACACTTTCTTCCTGGGTGACTCCTTTTATGGGAAAGGACACCTGTGTTCCGCATGGACGGGGGAGGGAGGGGATTAATTCCTATAATAAGCAGTAGGAGTTAACAGTTGGTGCTTGGGGTAGCTAGAACTTCTTCCTTTTTCTGTCCAGGGCATGGTAAGCGTGACTGTGTCTGCCACTCTTTACCCAATTGGCACCCTAATGGGAAGGGTACCGGGGTACCAGGGAGAGGCTGGTAACCCGCTCAGCTTTAGCAAGGCAGGGAGAGGCATCTGTTTCAGCCCAGGAGACAGGGTACAGTAATAATAAGGGCCTGGGTCAGCCGAGCAAGCAAGGGAAGGCTGCGCACAGTCCGGAAAAGGGTGGGGCCGCCCAGGGTGCGAACAGAGAGAGCTGCGGGGAACTACAGCAGCCGCAGTACCCTCTCTTCCCAGCAACAACCCCCCCCCCCCGCAGCCCAGCTGGCTTGAGCCTGGAAGGCGACTGCGGTGGGTCATTTCCAGGTGCTGAACAATGCTTGCAGGGCTAGTTCTCAGCGGGTACCTAGGGACAGGGCAGGAAACGGGACACCCTTATGCCCTTAAGTAGATAAAAAGCCTTGACTGAAAGAGCTAGCACAGGCGAAGGAACCTCCGAGCGATCGCGGGGGTGGGGTGGGGTGGGGTGGGGTGGGGTGGGGTGGGGGGATCCCCAGCGGCAAAGGCGTGAGTGACACAAGTCAGGGACCGCGAGCCAGCGTTCCGAACGCTTGGCGGGGAGGGAGCCCGGGCCGGGAGCGGCCACTCGGATGGACTGCCGTAGTCGAAGTGGACCAAGAAGTCCCGATTCTGTGGAAGGAGGATGCGCTCTGCGGCAAGGGTGGGCGGAGAGAGAGGGTGAAGTCGGTCCGGGAGCCGTGCGTCCCAGCAAGCCAGCGCTAACGGGACGAAGTGGGGGGGACGGGGGCGGGGGACGCTGTCCCAAGCTGACTTCACCGGGGAGGGAGGGAGAGCCCGGGCCCGAGCCCGAGCCGAAGGACTAGGAAAGAGCTCCGCTGCACCAAGGACCTCGGTGGCAACTCACCCAGGCAGGTAATTCCCGCTCGCTCATGTAAAGCGTCCTCGCCGTGATCCGCTCCTCGTCGTCCAGCAGCAGCCTCGCCGCCCGCAGGCTCCGTTCTTTCCCATCGCGGACCCGGCGCCAGCCCAGGTAGAGGGCGAGGCCGAACAGCACGAAACCCACGCTAAGCCCGGCCGCCCCGGCCAGGTACACGGGCACCAGCACCAACAAGCGCCGCCCGAAGGAAGTCAGCACCGCCAGCGCCTCGCTCGCGGCGCCTGGGCCAGCGGGTGGGACCCCGGAGCCCGGGTCCCCCGTGGTGTCGGCGGCAGGGGGCTGCTCCGCGGGCCCGGGGCCAGCGCCCTCTTCCTCGGGGGAGCGCTCCATGGGGCGGCCTCCTGCAGAACCCTCCAGAATTGCTGCAGGCAGCTCGGCGCCTGGGCCGGCTCCCCCTGAAATTTATAGTGCTCCCGGGGACCTCAAGCTACGCCACGCCCCTGCCCGTTGGGGTTGGTTCGCGCCGGCCGCGTAGACCTGGGAAGCCAGAGGGCTTGGGGTGGCAGGACCTCCGTGATTGGACCGGCGGGTCAAGATGGGAGGGCTGGATGGCGGGAAAAGGAGGAAAGAAACCAAAAGGCAGCATTTGACTGGGCATAGAAAGGACAGGGCGTGGCGTCCCACTTAGAGAGGAGGGAGCAACTGCTCCTCCCACGTGGAGTGACGTCATGCAGAGCCGCTACTCAGAGTGAGCTGGAGTGGAGGAGTAGCGGGTGGTCAGCCTCGTCTTTACCCCCATTCAGACGGTTTGGCAGTTTTTGTCTGAATCTGCCTCACTCTCTGTCAGCTTTCCCAAGTTCTGACTCTTAAGAATTGTCTTCATGTTCTGAACTCTTTCTGGCTGCCCTCACAAAAAGTAAGGGAAACGACCCTACTTGGAAACAGTCTTGGATGCCAGGCCCTGGTATTGGTCCTGTCCTCTGGAGAATGAGAATTCTAACGTTCTAATAATGAGAGTCCTCACATCCCAGGCTTGAAGGAAGTAGGGAGGAGGAGTACATAAGAAGCGAGGTTTCTGTTTCTCCGAGTTCTCTCTATCACAGGGGGCAAATTAAGACTAAATTGACACCAAAGCAATTACGTTTCCCAATAACTTTCTGAGGCTTGGGGTCTTAGTCAAAGTTTCTATTGGTGAAGAGACACCATGACCAACAGTGAGTTGGGGAGGAAAGGGTCTTTTTGGCTTACACTTCCACATCGTGGTCCATCAATGAAGGAAGTCAGGACAGGAACTCGAGCTGGGCAGGAACTCGAGCTGGGCAGGAACCCGGAGGCAGGAGCTGCTGCAGAGCCTGTGGAGGGTGCTGCTTACTGATTTCTTAGTCTGCTTTCTTATAGAACCCAGGACCACCAGCCCAGGGATGGCACCACCCACCATGGGCTGGGTTCTTCCCATCAGTCACTAAGAAAATGCTCTACAGGCTTGCTCACATCCCGATCTAATGGAGGCATTTTCTCAGTACAGGTTCCCCCCACTCAGTTGACAACCAAAAATACTAGTCAGCACAATTTGGAACTTCTAAGACACTACAATGAATTCTGCCAGGCAGAGTGTCTCCCAGCTCTAATCCCAGCATTTGGGAAGCTAAGGCAGCCCGAGATACATAGCAGAAACCAAAGGAAGGAATTCAGGAAGGAGGGAAGGAGGGAGGGGCAGGCCAGGCTGAGATATGGCTCAGTCAGTATAGCCCATGAGAACCTAAGCTAGGTCCCCAGCACCCACAAACAAATGCTCCTACAAACCTGAGGACCTGAGTTCAGATCCCCACACTCCTGTAAGAGCATTTGTAATCTCTCTGGCAGGTGGAAACAGGAGACCCCAATGGCTCCAGAGCCAACTAGCCTGGGTTAGGGAGCAGCACAGTGATCCCGCCTTGGAAGCAGAAGGGTGAGGGAGGGCTGGTATCTGAAGGCTGAAGTCTGACCTCCACATGGGGCAGCCAATATACACATGCAGGTACACAGGCATGCACACACACACATACATATACATACACACGTGTACACATGCAGGTGCACACACATACATATACATACACACACATGTACACACACAGGTACAGAGGCAAACACGCATGTGTGCATACACATGTGCAAACACACACACACACACACACAGGTACCCCTGAGCATGTGTGGCAGCATGTGTCTGAGTCCCAACTCTGGGAAGGTTGTGAGGAGGGATTTTAGGGCTGGCTGACCTTCCAGTCTAGCCTAATTAGCAAGGTCCAACTTCAGTGAGACTTATTCTCAAAAAATAAAAAAGACAGAGGGCCATAGAGATGGCTTGCTGGGCACAGCACTTGCCGCCAAGCCCGATGACCCGAGTTCAATGCCCAGACCACACAGTGGAAGTGGAAAGCCAACTTCTGAGAGCTGTCCTCTGGTCTCACCTGTGGTACATACACAACTCTCAAAAACTATTTCCTGGCTGGCCCAGAACTCACTCTGTAGACCAGGCTGGCTTAGAACTTACAGAAGTTACAGAAATTCAACCATCTCTGCCTCCCAAATGCTGAGATTAAAGGTGTACAACCACCAAACCTTGCCTTAAAAAACATTTTATGTGTAGTGTGTGCATGGGTTAGTCAGGGACACATACACACACACCACACACACACACGATATATACAGTCGCATATACATGTGTACAAGTAGAGCTCAGAGGACAGACAGCTTTCAGGGGTTAGCCCTTCCATCGGGGGTCCATGGACTTAACTCAGGCCACTGACTTGCACAGCAAGTATTTTTACCTACTGAGGCTCTGCCAAGCCTGACAGAGTTCTGGGTTTTTCATTGTTTTGGTAGAGATTTATTTTTATTATTTTTAACCGTGTGTAATGTGTTTGTGTGTGGATGTATGTGTACAGGTGCCTGAGGCATCAGATAACCCTGCAGCTAGAGTTGTGGTCTGTGTAATATGGGTGCTGAGAACTGAAAAAGCAGTATATGCTCTTAACCTCTCAGCCATCTCTCCAGGCCTTTTTGGGTATTTTTTGTTTTGTTTCATTTTGTATTTTGTATTTTGAGACAGGCTTTCATATCTCAGACTCAGAGGAGCTATGGCTGGCCTTGAGCTCCTGATCTTTCTGCCTCAACATTTCAAGTAGTGGGATGATTACAGACATGTGGTACTATGCCTGACTTTTCCTTTTCCCAACAATCCTTTCTCCCCATTCCTTCACGCCCTTAGAAAGAGTGGCCTTTCCAACATTGGCTTAAAATTTGCCTTCTAGGGCTGGAGAGAGGGCTCAGCGGTTAAGAGCGCTGGCTGTCCTTCCAGAGGTCATGAGTTCAATTCCCAGCAACCACATGTGGCTCACAGCCATCTATAGTGGGGTCTGAAGCCCTCTTCTGGTATAGTGTTGTACGTACAGATAGCACATTCATTTATATACATAATCTTTAAAAAGAAACGTGCCTTCTACCCTGACAGCAGCTCCTGCATCCCTAAGACCCCTACATCTCTCCTCCTTTCTCCAGTCTGTACCCTTCCCCACCCCCGAAGCCCCATTCCATTACACTTCAAGTCTGTATCTACAAACACTAACGTCCTGCCCCTAACCAGGCTCAGGCTTCACACCCATCATTCATTCAGTCCTCTTCTTTTGCGGGGGAGGGGCGTTCAAGACAGGGTTTCTCTGTGGAACTGCTCTGGCTGTCCTGGAACTCACTGTGTGGACCAGGCTGTCCTCAGACTCCCAGAGATCTGCCTGCCTCTGCCTCCTGAGTGCCGGGATTAACGGTGTGTGCGGCCACTCAATCCCTTTTAAAGGGGAAGTTTCTATGTTCCACCTGTTCACCCTACAACTGCCTGTAACTCCAAGATCTGATACCCTCACACGGACATACATAAAAATAAAAATGTTTTTAAAACCTCTCTCTTCTTTGAGCTCTGGCTCTTTGACTCCCAGATCTATGCATCTTTCCATCTTTATACTTAAAAAAAAAAAAAAAAAAACCTAACAAACAAAAAACAAAACTAGGTTCTGTCCTTGGGGTCTCAGAACACTTTCCAGGACTATCCTTTACCCATGTCGATTGCCACTCCAAAACTCCAGGCAACACCTACTGCCACCTTACCAGTCACTCTATTACTCTCTAAATCTAACAACATAACTCTGGGATTCACCCCCCACAATCTATTCCCACCACGCTTATCAACTCCTAACTTACAGAGGACCCCTGTGCCTTCCACCATCTTGGATTCTGTCCCTGCAAAGTTCTATCAAAACCACGTCACACACATCCCTTACCTGTCCTCCCCTCAACCCATCCGTGCTTATCCATTTGCCTCATTGATCCTCTACAGGCCCATCCAGAGCCTCTGGACGACCCCCTCCCCCATTCCTCCCACATACAAGAGGCTCCTTTGACTACATCTGCCTCTGCCTACACTTTTTTATACAGACAGCAGCTCCTTTCTGTCAGACGGCCACCGAGTTGTAGTGGGGTAAAATATTATTTTCAGGCGTGTGCCTTTTGTTTATGCTGCATTTGCTTAACTCTGTGAAGCTGTTCTCTGCCCGTCTAAAACACCTGGTGTCCTAATAAAGAGCTGAACGGCCAATAACAAGGCAGGAGTGAGGAAAGGCGGGGCTGGCAGGCAGAGAGGATGAATAGGAGAACGGAGGAAGAGGAGGACATCAGGGGCCAGCTACACAGACACCAAACCAGCCACGGAGTAAGAAGGAAAATAAGATCTACAGAAGAAAGAAAGATAAAAGCCCAGGGGGAAAAGGTAGACAGGTTAATTTAAGATAAAAGCTGGTTAGAAACAAGCCAAGCTAATGTCTAATGCCAAGCATTCATAACTAAGAATAAGCCTCTGTGTGTGATTTACTTTGGAGCTGAGTGGTGGTTCCCTCAAAAGAAGAAAAACAGAGCCAAAACATCTAAAATATTGCAGGGTATGCAGTGGTCTTAGAAGATGCCATCCTCCTTACCCCCATACATTACCAATCAACAAGCACAATTAACAGTCCTTGCCAGAGCCTTCCATATTGCCAAAAATACATCATCAGTGGTGTATACTGACTCCAAATATGCTTTCCATATCTTGCTCACACACTCAGCCATCCAGAAGAACTGGGGATTTCTTAATACAAAACATAACTCAAGCCAGACAATGGTAGTGCCTGGCTTTAATCCCAGCACTCAGGAGGCAGAGGCAGGCAGATCTCTGTGAGTTCGAGGCCAGCCTGGTCTACAGAGTGAGTTTCAGGACAACCTCCAAAGCTACAACAGAGAAACCCTGTCTCGGAAAAAAAAACAAAACAAAACAAAAAAAAAAAAAAAAAAAAAAAAGAAAAGTTTTATGTGCATTGCTGTCTTGCCTGCATGTA